GTACTTTCAGCATGCCCACTTTACAGACAAGGACACCAAGACTCGGAGAAATTAAGCTCCCAAGATCACCCAGCTAACAGGAGGCTGACCTAGGACTGAAATCATTGCGTGATTCCATAACTGTAAGCTCTGGCAGGAAGGAGCGACCTCACTCAGTTTCTAAAGTGAGTATCTTTCCAACTAGCCAGTTTGGGATTGCCTCAGGCAGGCAAGGAGCTGGGAAAAGAAGAGAGGGAAACAGCCGCGCCTTAGGCCGCCCCAGGCTGGGACAAACAGACAAGATCTCGCAGGGGCGCTGTAACCACAGTCTAGCCTTCTTCCCGGTCTCTTTAGCACAGCACAGGCTGTGAAGGGGGTGGGGACCTGTAGCCCCAGGGAGACTGAATTCCAGGCCACCCTTCTCCCACATTTCCCTGCAGAGCCCATCTTGGAGGGATAACTGTGCCCATCATTCCCAGATTCCAAGCCAAGCGGTGTACCCCAGGAAACTAGTTTAACTGTAGATTCGCTAGGAACACACACATCCGAGGGTCCACGACTACCGTTCATTCCTGAAGAACCAGCCCAGTCACTCATTTTGAAGGTGAACCTTAGTGTGTATCAGAATCACCTGAAGGGCTTTTCTTTTTTTTTTTTTTGCGGTACGCGGGGCTCTCACTGACGCGGCCTCTCCCGTTGTGGAGCACAGGCTCCGGACGCGCAGGCTCAGCGGCCATGGCTCACGGGCCCAGCCGCTCTGCGGCCTGTGGGATCTTCCCGGACTGGGGCACGAACCCGTGTCCCCTGCATCAGCAGGCGGACTCTCAACCACTGCGCCACCAGGGAAGCCCCTGAAGGGCTTTTAAAAACACAGATTGCTGGGCTCCACCCAGTGCTTCTGAATCCTGGGTCTGGGTGGAGCCTGAGAACTTGACCCACAAGTTCCCGGCGCTGCTGGCACTGCTGGTTGGGGGACCACCTTTGAAAACCACCATTTTAACTGATGGAAGCCTTAGCTTTGTGACTCCATTTCTGGGCATGTATCTCCGCATGTTGAAATGTGATAGCGGCTGTTCAAGGACGTTCATCCTTACCACCTGTGCTGATTTCCTATTGCTGCTGTAACCTTACCACACACTTAGGGGCTTAAAACAACACCAGTCATCTTACAGTCTTGGAAATCAGAAGTCTAAAATGGGTCTGCAAGGGCCGCACTCTGTTGTGGAGACTCCAGGGGAGAATCCGTTTCCTACCTTTTGCAGCTGCTAGAGGCTAGCATCTTGAAACCTCTCCCTCTCCCTCTCTCTCACACACACCTCTGCTCCGAGTCCTCTGTCCTCAAAAACAGCAGCAGACACACACACACACACACACACACACACACACACACACACACACACACACACCCCTCTGCTCCGAGTCACTTCTTCTTCTCTAACCCTCTTAGAAGAATCCTTGTGATTTCATTGGCCCACCCCAGCTGAGCCCACCTAAATAATCCACAGCAATCTTTCCACTTTAAGACCATCGGGACTTCCCTGGCGGTCCAATGGTTAAGACTCCACGCTCCCACTGCAGGGGGCACGGGTTCAATCCCTGGCTGGGAACTAAGATCCCACGTGCCACGTGGCGCGGCCGGAAAAAAAAAAAAGACCCTTAACTTAATCACGTCTGAAATCCCCCTTTGCGATGGAAGGGGAACATACGCACAGATTTTGAACGTTAGGACGTGGGCACCTTTAGGGGCCTTCGTTCTGTTCACCACCCCAGCCATCCGACAGCTGCTTACCCTCCTATATCACAGTGCCCTTCCCGCAAAAGAAAAACCGAAACCTTATCAGGATTTGCATGATGCCATCCCTCCTTCGGACTCGCCTGGTAATGAAGCATCTTGCACGAAGGACGGGTAGTGGGGGGAGGAAGGTAGGAGCCCTGAGGGAGGGAGGGAGCCAAGTGCCTCTTAGACCAGGCCCCGAACACCCACTAAACCTCCCCACGCTTGCCAGACTTTCCAGAATCTAGCGCCTTGGTGCCCCTCCCTCCGAGCCTGGAGCCTCCAGGCTCCCCCCTGGGGCTCCCCCCAGGTCAGTGCTCACCCCAGGCTCAGCCACCAGCACTGCCTCCCAAACCTGCCAGCAGGCGCTTGTGAAAGATGCAGACAGAGGAACTCTACTCAAAGCCTTCTTGCCTTTTGAGTTTCTGATGATCACCCTCAGAACTTTTCTGGGCTGAAGTCCCAGCCTCCAGGCTGTGAATTTTCTATTGGCGCGTTAATTTGCTCGGGCTGCTGTAACAAACTACGACAGACCGGGCGGCGTAAACAACAGAAATAAAGAAACCTACTTTCTCACAGTTCTGGGGCCTGGAAGTCTGAGGTCAAGGTGTGGGCAGGCTGTTTCTCCTGAAGCCTCTCTCGTCGGCTTGCAGACGGCTGTATCCTCTCTGCACCCTCACGTGACCCTTCCTCTGTGAGACGCCCCTGGTGTCTCTCTCTCTTTTTATTAGGACCCAGTCCTATTGGATTCCAGCCCATCCTCATTTTACCTCATTTTAACTTAATCACCTCTTTAAAGCCCTTATCTCCAAAGAGGCTTGTATCCCGAGGTCCTGAGAGTGAGGGCTTCAACGTTTGAATTGGAAGGAGAACACACTCAGCTCATAACAGTTGGCTAGGATCCTGGGAGACTCAAAAATCCCTTCCATCCTCTCTGTGCAACAGGTGGGCTAGGCACAATCAGGGCAGGTGGGGAGGGGTAGGCCAAGCTGGGACCGTCACAGTGTGCACCTCGGCCCAGTTCTGCCTTTCGGTCTTAGGTCAGGGATGGGAGGAAGGTGGAGGAGGTCAAAGAAGCCCCCGCAGGCTGAGTTTTAGTCTCTCTAAGCAAGAAGCCGCATTTGAGGCTCACCCTCCCGACAGCCAACTCCCTGCAGAAAGTTTTTTGCTTGATACACTATTTACAGCAAGTCACAGACATTCCACCAAGTCAATACACACCCTGGACCCAGAGGAAATAAAGGAGCCGACAGTGAGGGCTTGTGTTTGATGGTCTTTGCAGGGGCTGTGTGGTAGAAAATGATTTCATCCTCAAGGCATGGCTCTGAGAAGGAAGTCAGCCAGCAAGTTGAAACAAAGCAAACAGCCTTATCTTGTTCTTGATTCATGGGTTCCGCTTTCTTCAAAGCCCTTTAGAGGCAGGACACTGAATTGTCATTGTCAGAGTAACTGCTGTTGCCAAGTCCCTCCTGGGACCTCGCATCTGGGACTTATAAGACCTGGGGTCTCTGACATTTTTCCTTGACAAACCTTTGCTGCTCGCTGGTCAGACTCACTACCCAACAAGGGCTTAAAATATACATATATGAAATACACACATGTATATAGTAAGTGAAATCAGCCGGTCACAAAAATCACAAACACTGTATGATTCCACTTACAGGATAAGAGGGACCCAGAGTTGTCAAATTCAGAGACAGAAAGTAGAAGGGTGGTTTGCAGGGGCTGGGGGTGAGGGAGGGGCAGCTCTTGTTTAATGGGTAGAGTTTCAGTTTTGCAAGATGAAAAGGGTCTGGAGATCTTTTGCACAGCCGTGTGAATGTACTTATTGAACTGTACACTTAACGATGGTTAACATGGTAAGTTTTATGTTACATACATTTTAGCACTGTTTTTTAAAAAGGCTGCTGCAAGCAATCATTTAATAGAATGATTAATGATCATGTAATAGAATGTCAAGCCAACCTAGGTTTGAATCCCATATCTGCCACTCACTAGTTTTGGGACAGGGTTCTAAGTTTTTTGTTTAGTGCCTTAAAACGACAGCAATCGTGTTATTATTTCTGTTCCTGTGGGGCAGGAATTTGGGAAGAGCTTTGGCTGGGTAGTTCTGGCTCAGGGTCTCTTCCGAGCTTGCAGTTGGGTGGGTGGAGGGTTGGATCACTGGGGGCTGCTGAACACCTCTCCCTCTTCCTAAGAGTCTCCAGGCTTCTTCATGGGGTCTTTCCACGAGGCTGACTTGGGCTTCCTTACAGCATGGCGGCCTCAGGGAAATTGGACGCTTCTGGGGTGGCTCAGGGCTCCAAGCAGGCAGATGTCCCAGGGACTAAGGGAGAAACAGCATCACCTTTTCTGATTTAGCCCTGGAGGTCATGCACTGTCAGTTCCTGAGTACTCTCTCGGTCACAAGCAAATCACACACTTCCCCAAGTTCAAGGGGAGAGGTATCGGACTCCACCTCACCATGGGAAGTGGCAAAGTTCCAGAGCAGGTTTGGCAAATTACGACCCTTGGAACAAATCAGGCTCACCTCTCCAAGGCAGCCATGTCCATGCCTTTACATATTGTCTCTGGCTTTGCCACAATGTCAAAGTTGAGTTGTTTGGGACAGAGACTGCATGGTCTGCAAAACCAAAAATATTTACTGTACAGCTCTTTATAGATTTTCCTGACCCCTGTTCTAGAAGACCAGGTTGGATGGACAATATTGTTTTAGCCACCTTTGGAATATGCCGTTGGCTGCAGGCAGGTTACGAGCCGCTCTGAACTTTACCTGGGTCTCCAACTCTGTAAAGAGGAATGATGATCATATGTAAAAAGTACTCAGCACAATTCCACACCTGTAACACATAAAGTATACAGTTTAGTTCTTCCCCTTCTAGGCTTAATTATGAGGAAAGTTGTTTACTGCCACTCTAGGTCTATTAGCATCCGGAAATTCCCAATTTTAGACCCTCCTTGGAATTAAGGCAGACTTTACAGAGACCCACTTTTTTCTTTTTTTAAGAAACTCTTTATTTTATATTGGAGTATAGTTGATTAACAATGTTGTGATAGTTTCGGGTGATTCAGTTATACATATATTACATGTATCTCTTCTTTTTTCAAATTCTTTTCCCATCTAGATTGTTACATAATATTGAGCAGGGTTCCCTGTGCTATACAGTAGGTCCTTGTTGGTTATCCATTTTAAATCTAGCAGCGTGTACATGTCAATCCCAAACTCCCTAACTATCCCTTCCCCCCGGTAACCATAAGTTCGTCAGAGACCCTCTTTTTAAACAGGTATTTATTACTCTGGACGAAGGAAATGTTTGCAAGAATTCTTTTAAAAATGCAATCCCCCGTCCCCCGCCCCCCAGCCATCCTCCAATGCATTATTTTATCAGACTAGCTACATTTTTACCTTTCAGAGAACAAATACCTAAGGGACTGAGGCAATCTCATAAATTTGGAACTGAGTGATGGGGAACAGCATGGTGGTGGCAGGTCTCCGATGCCCTAGGGAGAGAAAGACACAAGAAATTTGACCTACTTCACAGTTTTGCTCAGGGCTGCCTCAGCCTCAGACAAAGCAATGAAAAATGTTTTCTTGGCCTCCCCTTACCCATCGCCTCCCTCTCCTATTGCCCAGACTTGTTATCTCCGCCCCGACCTCCTCCACCCGCCAAGACTGCCCTTGGATTTTTTCCTCTCCTACCCTGGATGTTTCCAAGGCCAATCCTCCAGCAGCTCTCGGAGATTATCTGCTTGTGACCCTGCTGTCCTCCCTGCTCCAAATTCAAGCAGGGTCCTTCTGAAGCCTAGTTATTCAGTGCTTCTGAACTCGTTCTCTCTAGAAGCAAGCTTCTATCCAAGAAAATAGAGACCCCTAACAGGCACTGGGGTAACATTAGACCTGCCAGTCCCAATTCTCCTACTCATTTACTCAAAAACCACCAAAATTAACAACTGTTAATTTGTGCATCATTCAAACAAACTATATTCTGTCTCCTCTCCAAATTACGTTTGACTCCAATCACTTTTTTTTTTTTTTTTTGCGGTACGCGGGCCTCTCACTGTGGCGGCCTCTCCCGTTGCGGAGCACAGGCTCCGGACGCACAGGCTCAGTGGCCATGGCTCACGGGCCCAGCCGCTCCGCGGCATGTGGGATCTTCCCGGACCGGGGCACGAACCCGTGTCCCCTGCATCGGCAGGCAGACTCTCAACCACTGCGCCACCAGGGAAGCCCCTCCAATCCCTTTTAAAATCTACCTAGCTTCACCCTGAGCTGTGTTGGAAGAATAGTTCCTTTTTATTGCAGCTATATGTCGCCATGTTAATTTTATATCAAATATTATGAGTGTTTGGGGGGGCAGCTGGGAGGGGAAGTGTGTAACTAGATGATTAGAGAACACTCCCTCTGGCCCTATTAATTTTTACAGCATTTTTCCCTCCTATTTTGCTTAAATTTGCAACTTTATGCAAATTTTATGAAACATTTTGTGGTATCCCCAGAGTCCCAGCTCGGCCAAAGGCCAGCTCAATTTACGTTGCTCCAGGAAGCACTGTGGTTTGGAAAAATCACTCAGCTGGCTGCAAAAAAAGTAAAAATTGTTACTACTACAGCTGATGCCGATCCTACAGATTGCTGTAAAATGAACAGAAAGTAGTTAAGCGCATTGCCCTAGGTCACAGACCTACTCATTTATGGACCTGGAATTCCAAAGACTTTTGGCTCTTCCAAGTGTTCCGTTCATTCATAAATTCACACTCCCTCAGGGTACCAGGCACTGGGCCCTTTCAACCAATATTGCTTCCTTTACTCCGTTCTCCAGAGTGCTTTTGTTTATTTTATATCCAATATCACTTATAAAATAACGTGCTGCCAACCATTCTCTTAAGCTCAAAAAAGTTTTTTTGACAACATACTTTCTAATCTATCCTTAGGTTAGTGACAGAAAAATGGACTAAAATGACAGACATTGAGATCTGTTTAGTAGAAAAGCTTTGGTTGTTTTGCTTATTTTTATCTCAGGTAAACATCTGGGAAGTAACTAAAAATAAAAGTATGGTCTGAGATGGTCAATGTTTCTGAAGTACTTTTATGACTAAAACCGTGAATGTAAAGGTCACGTGAAATCAGAATTTTGAGTGTGTCTGTAACAGGAGCACTGCTGGTGGATGTACTGAACAATAGAGTTTTAGCCTGAGATTCAGTTTGTTTCATCACCTACCGCTTACCTGGCACCAGACTAGATAACTGAGACACCTGGTTGCCATGGAGATGAGATGGCATCATCGGATCACATCTGTGTACAAGTATAGCTTCAGAGTTTCACAGGTCTTTTGCACAGGAGCAGGGGTACACCCGGCTTACTGGCTGCTAAGACAAAACAAAGGGATTTCCCTTATGAAATGGTTGATGTTGTTACCATGTACTATTTATTGAGCACTTACTATGTGTCAGGTAATAGTCTGAGCATTTCTCAGATATTACTTCGTTTCATCCTCCCACCAACCCTGCAAGGGTTACTATTCCCATTTCACATAGTAAAAAACTGATGTTTAAACAGATTAAACAGACCTCCCTAGGTCTGCCTCCAAAACGTATATTCTGAAACATCATGCATTACCGCCTCTCAGGCATGGAAAGCAAACTTATTGCTGTTTGCTTAATAGGTTTTTAGTAATTTAAGTGCATCATTTTAGGGCTAGTATCCTACCTAGTCACTTTGGCAAACTAGGGAGATTTAGTTGACAGGCCTTAAGCAGTGCTTGGAGAGGGTCTGTGCTTTTAAATTCTCAAGTACTTGAACTAAAACAGAGTGAGCTGGTCCCATTCACATCCTGCCCTCCAGCCCCCTCTAGCTGGAAGTTATTAGCGTTGACCATGAGGGCAAAGCAGAACATACTTGAAAATGTTTGGGGTTTGTTTTTGTCTCTTCTGAACTGAGTGGTAATACAGAAAGCAGGAAGACAAGTTTTAAACCACTGACAGGGAACCACCCCCCAAGACCGCAGAAGTTCATGGCAATTTCTGCATTTTCCAAGATACAAGACAGCAGAGGCTGGGGCCTGTCATCTGTGTGATTTAAGGAGATGGGGGCTGCAGAGGGTGGGATGGGGTACAATGGCACAAAGCTGATAAAGACGGACCAAGCAAGCCACAACTGCCAACCCGAGGGGAGGGCTTGCACTTAGGAAAGATGCAACACCTTCATAGGCGATTTTATTTTCTCCCCGCATCTCCTCCTCTCAGTAGGTGGCTCCACGGCTGGGAGGGCAGAATGTGGGGCTGCTCGAAGCTGGGTGGTGAAGGAAGGCCTCTCTAAGGAGAGGATTTATGAGCTGAGGCCAGAGAGATGAGATGAAATTTTAACATTCAGCACTAGGGACAGGCATCTTAAAATGTGCTCTCAACACGGAACTTCTGCGTAGGGCTCTTCATGCTGTAGAAACCCCAACATGTGGAAAGGATAGGGTCTCCCCACCTCCAGTAAAATCGCCTCGGGAGTTTTCAAGATGGTTTTTGTATTATTGGAATTTTGTTGTAACAAATAATGCAGGAAGGAAGGAAGAGAGCCTCCTTCCTGTGTTTGAGATATTAAGTGCCACACCACGTCCCCTTACATCATATTAACTACATCATCCGTCTCATGACACTGTGAGGTCACCGAGGCTGTTACCCAAACTCAACAGATGAGGAAAAGGGATGAGAGCTGAGTCATCTGAGGTCCTGCAGCCAGTAAGTGGCAGGTCAGGATCTGATCAGGTCTGGTTGCCTTCAAGGCACTGCCTTTTCCAGACACCACCGGGCCACCACGGCTGAGCACCTCTTTGAAATACAGGCAGTCTGGTTTGGTGAGACCTTGTATGATACATTTGCCATACAGAGTCATTTAATCCAACAAATAAGTATGACAGGAAACAAAGATCTACCTGATCACTAATTTCCCTGTGCTTTCATACCAGAGCATCAGTGTAACAGGAACGAGCAAAGTGTGACGAATTCTATAGGAAACATATGTAGGAGGGGCTCACAGAACACAGATGAAGTGAATCTTGAAGCATGAACAGGAGTTTTCCAAGCCAGGAAGGACGCTTAGCATCTGTAAAGTCATTGCATAAGTGCCAGGCCAAACAGATCAATAAGCAAATCAATAAGTAAAATTTTTAAAAATAAAATTAGAGTGGACTTCCCTGGTGGCGCAGTGGTTAAGAATCCGCCTGCCGATGCAGGGGACACGGGTTCGTGCCCCGGTCC